GCTTTAGGAAAATATTACATTTATCTGTGGATACTAAGGGCTCATGTTTGGAATTAAATAAAAAACATAACATTAAGATGAAAAACAATTTGCCATGACTGCCAGTGGCCAGAATTTGTACCTCAGAGCCTGCAGCCTGTATAGTCGACACGGTCTACAACACCATAAAGGTCATATAGGGTCACTATGAGTTGGAACCCACACACCTGCACATGGTCACCATTTTTGTTTTAGCATCTGTCCCCCAGGGTCCATCTCTATTGTTTTCTCATCCTCAGCCTTCCCTCTCATACATTCATCTCATATGTAAATTTTTTGATAGTAATAAAGTAAAAGTTTTGGCTTTCTATTGGCCTCACCTTTAATCCTTCCCACTTCTTTTTTTCTGAAATTTTTTATTTGACTATTCCACTTTTAAGCCTCAATTTTCTCATCTGTTTTATGGGAATAACAAGGGAAGGGTTGAGGTTTTCATGAAAGCCTGTGTACACAGAACTAGGCATACTGTAAGCCCTTGGTCACTGTTGGCTGTTAGTAATTTTATTATCAGGTATCTTTTCCTGTGGGTTGTCAGCCCCAAGTTGGGTTCCACCCCAAACAGTGTCACAGGTTTATAAATAGAATGAGCTGGGGAGTGTCTAGCTGGGTCCAAGCCAGATATGATCAGGATTCTGGCTATCATCAAGAAAGGCACCATGAGTTGCAACTGGAGGGCGATGTGGTGAAACACACAGGGTGGTGGTTGTGTGCGATGGAGTCAGTTTCGACTCATAGCGACCCTGTACAGGGTTTCCGAGGCTGTAAATCTTTATGGGAGCAGAAAGCCTCATCTTTCTCCATCGGAATGGCTGGTAGTTTCAAACTGCTGAGCTTGAGGTTAGCAGTCCGATTCGTAACCACTATGCTACCAGAGCTCCTTCATACGGGGTTATTGTTATTAAGTGTGATCGAGACGATTCTGACCCATAGCGACCCGGTATAGGGTTTCCGAGGAGCAGCTGGTGAGCTTGACCTGCCGATCTTGCATTTCAAATGGCTTCGCAGTTTGGGGCATTAACCTACAGTGCCACACCAGGACTCCACATATGGGGTTTGTTGTTAAGTGCCGTCGAGTCGGTTCGGATCCACAGATACTCACAGGCCCAGGAAGCGATCTCTATCAGCGCTGTGTCCCGAGCATCATCCAGCAAAGGGCCAGGCACAAAGTGGGTGCTGAGTAATGATTTGGTGAATAGCTAAGTGTCCCCACCCTGTCCGTGCCTGCCCCTATAGTGGCCCCTCTGAGTGGACGCAACCCCTACTCCAGGTGTAAGGCTTTGAGAAGGGCGTTAAGGCTGTGTTTTAATCTCTATGTGGCCCCTCGCCCAGAGAAGTTCGGGAGCAGATTTCTGGGTTCACGAGCAGAAAGAGGATTCAGATCTGCCACACCTCCTATGAGGAAGAGAAAGAAAGAGGGGAAGGAAGAAGAAAATACCCTCAACCCAGCCCTCCCGTCCGCCTCCTGGATCCGGTAGCGCTGGACTCCACCCTCCCAGTACTAACACCTGGCGCTTGGGCGTGCCTCAGTTTCCCGGGGGCGGGGCGTTCTTCCCCCGCGCCCCTCCTTCTTTCTCTCTTCTTCCTCTTTGGGACGTCTGCGGCCGGGCCTCTAGCACTCCCGGAACTGAAACTAGGCTCCGGGCGGCGGGCCAGGGGGGGCCACGTCAGCGAGGCTGCCGGGGCGCTGGCTGGGCTCGGGTCCCGCCGGCGCCATGCGGAGGGGCGCGCTCCTGGCGGGAGCACTAGTGGCCTATGCCGCCTACCTGGTGCTGGGCGCACTGCTGGTGGCGCGGCTGGAGGGGCCGCACGAGGCCCGGCTCCGAGATGAGCTGCGGGCACTGCGGGAACAGCTGCTGCAGCGCAGCCCGTGTGTGGCCGCCTCTGCCCTGGACACCTTGGTGGAGCGGGTGCTGGCGGCCGGACGGTTGGGGCGCACTGCGTTCACCAATGCCTCGGACACCACCTGGGACTTTGCCTCGGCACTCTTCTTCGCCAGTACGCTGGTCACCACCGTAGGTATGTGAGCACCGCCAACCAGCACCCGGGGCTCCCAGTTTGTTTCCGTGCTCCTAGGGGCCCACGATCCCTCTCACGCAAGTCTCTTATCCCAGCGGGTCACTCCTAATCCCCGTTGGGCCTAGGGTCCCCTACAAACCCCTCAACGAGGACCCGCTCTTCTCCGGGAGCCCTTACCCAAGTTCTTCCGCCTCACAGAAAATCCCCTGTGCTAGGGACCCCCTCAGGATAACTGGGGACTAATTGGGACCCTATTCCTCGGCCCTCGGGGGTCTCTCTACCTGAAGCCCTCACCACCTCTGGACCTAGACATGAGCTATGAAACGACCTTTCCCCTCACCCCTACCCTTCTCTTGGCCTCAGGACCACTATTCCCCAAACCAAGCCATTTGACTCTCCAGGTAAGTCCCTGCCCCTTGGAAAATCTCACCGGTAACTCCCGATGACCCTGGAGCCCCAGCCAGAATTCCAAACATCCACACAGGGCTTTACCCTGTCCCGGAGGGCTCCCCCAGGCAAGAATTTACTCCTAGTAATAACCTGGACCTAAACCATTACCCAGCAAGATCCTGCCCATCTGCAGACCAAGGACTTCCCCAGACTCTCCAGCAAGTATCCCTGACTCCAGACAGCATTCTCCCCAGAGATCCCAGGCCATCTTGACATAGGTAGTTCAAGATTTCCCTCTGGCTTTGAGTCTCCCAGTTCAGAGACCCTCAGCAGTCCCCAACTGTGGTTACATGGTCCAGACCCACTGTTATGAATTTAATTGTATCTCCTCAAAATATGTGTTGTAAATCCTTTTAAGCCCCGTTAGTGTAGTGGATTCTGAGCTGGGCTACTAACCACAAGGTCAGCAGTTCAAACCCACCAACTGCTCTTCAGGAGAAACAGGAGGCTTTCTAATCCTGAATAGATTTACAACCTAGGAAGCCCTTTCTAGGGTCACTGAGTCCGCCCTGGCATGACAGCAGTGGATGTGGGGGTAGGAACTGAACATGGGGTGCACAGAATTGACAGCAACCCCCTCCCATCTAGTCCGTTCTGACTCACAGCGACCCCATAGGACAGAGGAGAACTGCTCCTTCAGGTTTCCAACACTTTACAGGAGCAGCAGAGCCTCTCATCGTTTCCTGCAGAGCAGCTGGTGGGTTTGAACTGCTGACCTTGTGATGCTTGACCCACAGCACCACCAGGTCTTCTTACACACAATCCTGTACGAATAAGGTCCCTGCCCACATCCCCTTCACCTTCCCCCTTACTCACTCAACGACCGTCTCAGGGCCTGGCATGCTCTCCCCACGGATGCCCACCGGGCTCCCTGTGGCTCAGCTGGACCTTCCCTGACCTTCCTGTGGAGACATCCATCAGCCCCTCCCCTGCTCCATTCCTGTCCACAGCATGCACTTCCACCTCATGTACTAGACATTTTATTTCTTTTATCCACTGCCCACCCCCACTCTAATGCCAGGCCTAGCTCTAACCAGGATGCATTCGCCAAGCTCATCCTTCCCACCCGCTTTGATGTTGGTCATCCTCATTTGACACATGAGGAAAGCTGGGTTTCAGAGAGGTCAGATCTTGCTTGCTCCATAGCATAGAGGTAGTAAATGGCAGAGCCAGCTTCCAAATGCTTTAAAAAGGTCCTTCTGGCTTGGTAAGGAGCCCTGGTGGCACTATGAGTTAGGTACTGGGCTGCTAACTGCAAGATCAGTGATTCAAATCCACCAGCTGCTCTGTGGGAGAAAGATGAGGCTGTCTGCCCCCATAAATAGTTACAGTTTCAGAGACTGGCTCAGTAGCAGTGGGTTTGGTTTTTTCTGGCTCTGCCTGGCAAACAGACAGAGCAGGGGGAGGTAGAGGGTAGGAGCATAGGGTGGACAGGGTCAGGGGAGACGGGCTGGTTGGAGAGATGCTTGGTTGGGCAGAGTCAGGAAGCAGAATGGACAAGGTGTGTGGGTGGGCGTATGAGCAACAGGCTGGATGGGGAAGATGAGCAGGGTGGGATTTGAACCCAGCACTCTGGCTCCAGAGAGCTCTTGCTCGGCTGCTGCAGGAGACTTCCTGAGGCCCTCTGTGCACCATCTGGGGCAGAGGGAATGGTGGGAAACTCACAGTGGGAGAGGGGCAGAAATCCAGTGATCTGCTCCATACAGCAATCTCTCCCTGCACTTCCATGTTCTCTCCATGGAAGAGAGTTAGCTGTCCTGCTCACAGGGCTGCTGTGAGGAAAAGTGACCCATGATGCTTGTAAGCAGTGCAGCACATTAAAAGCAGCTCATCCATGTCACCGGTTATCGATTACCAGCCCCCGACTCTTCCTCAGGAGTCTTGGTGGTGCTAGGGGTAAAGCACTGGGCTACTAACTGCAAAGTTAGCAGTTCAAAACCCACCAGCCACTCCAGGCGAAAAAAATGGGGCTGCCTGCTCCCGTGACGATTTCACGATGTCAGAAGAACTGAGGGGTAGTTCTTCTCTGTCCTTGTAAGATCGCTGTAAGTTCGGGATTGACTCAGTGGTGGCGGCTTAAGGTTTGGTTTTGGTTTTAACTCTTCCAATTAATTATCTGTAGTTTGCAAAGACCCAGGTCTCCTCAATCCAAAAGCACACAGCAGTGGGCCCTGTCCACTCGGCCTACTTCTCAGTCCCTCTCCCACTTCTGGCCTCGAAGGGCCAACTTCCAGAAAGCTTCAGCGAAAGTCCTCCTTCCTGCCCTTTCAGCCCCTTAAAACCCCCAAAAAAGCAGTTCCCACTGAGTCGGTTTCATCAAGTTGGGAGTCAGACAGTACTGTGTTCCATTGGGTTTTCATGGCTGTAAACTTTCAGAAGCAGAGCACCAGGCCTGTCCTGCTGAGGCACCTCCGGGTGAATCCAAACCAGCAACCTTTAGGTTAGGGCCTCGCACTGAACCGTTGGTGCCATCCAGGGAGACAGCCCCTCAATCCTTGGCAATTTTGGCTGTCACCCAGCCTCCAAAACACCTTTCAACACTTCTACAAGCCTAGGTTGCTGTTTCATCTTCATCTGACTCCCAACCCCTCCACAGCATAGGATGTTGTTGCCCCAAAGGGCCAACTTCCAGCTGCCTGTCCTCGTGACACAGTATGGATCTGTTTCTCTTCCCTGTCGGAGCCTCACACAAGTTTTTTGAGTGTCTGTGTGTGTTAGCCTCTGCTGTAGGTACTGAGGACACAGCCAGAAGACAAACATAAAAACTGCTGTCTGCAGGAGGCTGATGGTCTCTGGTTCACTCCCTCTTGAGGAGTCTTTATTTCCAGTTCTCTGAAATGTGTTAGCCAATTTCCCACAGGGCAGCATCCATGTGCCAAGGCTTGCCTCCTTCCTGGGTCCCATTGCCTCTGGCTGCCCCTGGGACCCTGACCACAGCATCCTCGCCCCTGATACCCAGTTAATCATAGTGGGCTAGCTCTCACCGACTTTTTCTCCATGTTACTACCCTCGTCTCTCACACTTGCATCTTGCATGTGACTTAAACATCCTCCTCCCTATTCCCCTGTCCATTCTGAGCTCTAGTAACCTCTCCAAATGACAGCCAGAGTGATCTAAGTCATGCTTCTTCCTAAGATCAGTGCCCATGGTGAGAAGAAAACCTAAATGCCTACTAGGCCCTGCATGACCCAATCCTGCCAGCCACCCCCATCTCCTCCCTCCCTCCCCACGCCTTTGGGGCTCACCACTCCCAAGCACAATGGCCTCCTCTTGGGCTCTGATCCTGCCAAGCTCCTCACCCCCACAAAGCCTGAACAAGGAGCATGTTCCCTCCATTGGTGTCTGTCAGTCCAGCACTCAGAGACGGGCTCAAACCTGTTTCCTGCTCAGGCCAACGTTCCTCGCTCAATAGAAAGCTTCAGCGCCACCCTTTTCTCTCCTAACCGCCTGTGGTTTGGGTTTTGTTTTTTCCTGAGCATTTAGCACAAGTTCTAAGAATGGAATTCAAAGAGAATGGAAATTCCCCCACAAGCGTTTTGAAGCCCCCTCATGTATATTCAATCTCATCACAAACCCCTCTCCTCCTGGTTAATTTCTCATCCTGGATCGTCCCTCTTCTAAACAATGTCAGACATTCCAATTCTCTGGGCTTCCTCCAGCTCAGCCCTGACCCCTTGTGGCCCTGACCCCCCAGCACTGCCCCATCACTAGCCATCTGCCCCTCTGCACCTGCTACTCCATAAAAACAAGCAGCAAGACTGTCACGGAGTACTGTGTCCCCAGCACTGCTGCGTACTGGGCCAGCCAGGCTTCTACACACATCACACCTTCGCAGCCATCGGAAAAGCCCCGCAACGCCGGGTCACATCCTTTTTCCCTTAACACCCTCTCCTTCTCCCCAGATTATCATGTTTATTTTTCAGTTTAGTGTTTGTCTCCCCATTCAACTCTGAACTATAAGACAACAGTAAAGCCACGGCTGTCTTGGTTACTATGTTGTTGTTAAGTGCGGTCTTGTTTAGGGCTTCTGAAGAACGACGGGTGGGTTTGAACCGCTGGCTTTGCAGTGCAGTGTTTATTTTACAGCCCACACCAGGACTCCTGGTAACCACTGTTATGTGCTGTTGAGACATTTCCGACTCATAGGGACCCAGTATAGGGTTTCCATGGAGCGACTGGTAAGTTTGAACTACTGACCTTGTGGTTCAACCAGACCTTGCAGTCCCACGCTTATCCACACCAAAAGTCCCCAAATTCCAGCAGAGGAACTGGCACAGGGGGAGCTGTGGCAAGACACTGTGTGCAGTGAAGTCAGTTCCAACTCATTGTTAAGTGCCACTGAGTCTGTTCTGACTTATAGCGACCCTGTGAAAGGTTACCGAGAAGTGGCTGATGGATTTGAACTGCCGACCTTGAGGTTTGCAGTCAGGTTGTTGAATGAATGAGATGCACACACCCTCACGGAGATGAAGAGAAAAACAAACTGACAGAGGAACGCAAATGGAGTTAACACTACAATGGTGGTGGTGGTGGTTGTGTGCCTGCCGTGGAGTTGGTTCCGACTCATAGCGACCCTGCATAGGATTTCCAAGGCTGTAAATCTTTACGGAAGCAGAAAGCCTCATCTCTCTCCCACGGAACGGCTGTGTGGTTCGAACTGTTGATCTTGATTGAGGTTAGCAGCCCCACTTGTAATCACCATGCTACCAGAACTCCTTAGCAAATCTTAAGTGAGACATAAACACAGTCACATCTGCGAACTGGGGGTCACAAAGGCCGCACTAAGGAGCATGGTGACAGCTGGAGGGCACTGGGGAGCTATGGAAGGGTGCGGAGCAGGGGACAGTTTGTCGCTAACTACGAATGAATGACAGTCTAGTTCCACTGCACATCATACAACATCCTGCCCCAAGTTGCTTTCCTCTAAAGGAATGTCTTAAATAAATCGACCCTAACGCGCCCCCTACCCGGACATGGCATCCCTGCGCTGGACACAAGGCGAACAGCCCAATTCCTGACCTCGTGACCCCCGACCTCCAGTGACCCAGCCAACTGCCGCCACGTCCCAGCCACACTCCCACGCGCCTGATCTCTTCCGTGGGCCACGTACGCCACTTACGCTGCCGGGTCGTTCCTGTAGGCGCCGCCGCCGGCAGGCCTGTCGGGTGCATCTTTGGCAGATACCGCCGCCGCCGCCTCAGCCTCGGTACGAAACGTGTCTGCCCGGCTCCCGTAACCACGCCCCTCCGGTGACGAAGCATCCAATGGGCATCACGACGTTCACAGGCCCGGTCTACTCGCAGAGGCCTGGAGGCGTGGGCGGTGGGAAAGAGGCGGGGAATGGGAGGAGAGGAGATTGGGGGGAGTCCCGTGACGAAAGTGAAGATTAGGATAATCCTAGGACTAGGAGGTGTGGGGCATGATGGGAAATGTAGGCGTCGAGCCAAGGCGTCGATGGGAAATGGAGTTCATTATAGTTCCCTGGTGTGTCACTAGAGGATAAGCACTGGACCAAAAGGTCCGCGAAGCAAGGTCCGCAGTTCAAACTCATCAACCGCTCCTTGAAAACCCTATACACGGTCGCTATGATTCGAAACCGACTCGACCTCACTTAACAATAACAACATAGTGCGCTTTGGATAAACGCTTGACTGCTAACCACAAGGTGGGCAGTTGAAACCCACCAGCCACTCCTGGGAAACCCTATAAAGCGTCACTATGAGTAAGAACCAACTCTACATGCAGACAACAACAGCAACAATAGACATTTGGGAGTCCTGGTGTGGCGCTGTAGGGTAAGCACTGGACTGCTAACCACAAGGTCAGGATTCAAACCCCTCCATTCGCTCCTTGGAAACGCCATACAGGATCGCTAAGAGTAGGAACTACTGACTTGACCGCAATTAACGACAAAAAGAGCATAGACATTTGGGCACTGGGCAAAAACGAAAGAACGTGCAACAGAGGAGGGGAGATCCATGGACGCTCCCCAATTATGTGGGTAGCCACTCCTCAGAAACCCTATACAGGGTCGCTATGAGTCGGAACCGATTCGATAGCACTTAACAACAACAACGTTTATACATGGAGTCCTGGTATGGCGCTGTAGAATAGGCACCGGATTCCCAACCACAAGGTCCTGCAGTCTGAATCCACCATCCGCTCATCAGAAACCTGATACAAAATCTCTGAGTCAGAATTTAACAACAATGCTTATACAAGGAGTCCTGGTGGAGTAGTGGGTTACATGCTGGGCTGCTAACCACAGGGTCAGCAGTTTGAATCTACCAGTAGCTTTGCAGGAGAAAGATAAGGCTTTCTACTCTGGTGAAGTTTTACAGCCTCAGAAATTGCATGCAGTGGTGGTTATGAGTCCACCCGACTCCACAGTACACACCACCATCACCAATGTTTATACCATGTTGGCAGTCCTAGTATGAAAGTGAATATTTAAAATAGACACTGACATCCAGCTAATAAATTCAGTGAGATGCGAACCAGGTGCCCTTTCAACAAGGATTGTTGTTAAGTGCTGTGGAGTTGGTTCCGACTCATAGCAACCCTATATAGGGTTTCCAAGACTTTAAATCTCTGCTGGGAGCAGAAATTTTTATCTTTCTCCCTTGTGATTCACAGTCTTGTATTTACAGTATGGAGCTATATCTTTAGGGAATTTTCCAGAAATACATTCTTGTCCTCCTGATGCAACCTGGCTCCTCCCCCCCCCCAAAAAAAAAATCCCACTACAATTCCCACAACTTGAAGCACACACAGGAGCCACCCATAAGAGTTGTTGTTGTTGAGTCTTTGAGTCAATTACGACCCACAACAACACAGTATAGGGTTTTCAAAGAGCAGCTCGTGGGTTTGAACCATCAACCTTTGGGTTAGCAGTCCAGTGCTTATCCTACAGTGCCACATCAGGACTCCACCCACAAGAGAGGGTCCCTGAAAATTACATTTCTTCAGTCTTGGCCTTATCCTTTTCTTCCCATCTCTTTCCCTTTCCGTCTCCTCTCTTACTCCCCCTTTCTTTGTCTCAGTCCCGCCAGTTTTTCTCAAGATAATGGTGGAAGTGACTTCTAGGCAGAGATAGGACTCCGGAAGGGTGTCTGTAAGTGACCCACCACTGTGGCTTCCCTCTTTTCCTCCTCCAAACAATGGACTTTTTTTTGCTGAGACATTGTCTTTATTAGGGAGTTTGAGGATTGCTTGTGGGCACTCATTGTAAGTCAGTTCTGAGTCCTGGATCAATTAATGTCCCTTTCTTGTGAGTGAAATGTTCCTATTCCTCTGTAACTTTCTTTAAGCCCCGTTAGTGTAGTGGATTCTGAGCTGGGCTACTAACCACAAGGTCAGCAGTTCAAAACTATCAGTAGCTTTTTGGGAGAAAGACAAGGCTTTGTGCTCCCATAATGTCGGGGACCAGCCTCGACATAGGAACTTGGTTCACGAGTGTTTGGTTCACGAGGAGGGGATATCTGGCGGTGAAAGGGATAGCAAAAGAATACACAGAAAGACAGAAGGAGGGAGACAAGGAGGCACCCTGAAACCAGGGTGGATGCATTACTGGTGGGCAGACTTGGGACTACAGGCATCGTGGCCTCTGCAGGCAACAACTCACTGCCCTGAAAACTGTACTGCATGCCCTCCAACCTGTAATGCACACCTGGGCCGGCCTGCGTCTCCGTTTTATTTAGGGGAGGAACTTCACACCAAGCTGGGAG